AGCCGGTTCGGATCGCTAGTATATATATTTTATGTACGTGCGAGCATAAATTTATTTATAAACCGATTTAAATAATTCTTCATTTGTTAAACAGGTTATACTTCATGGGACCACCCATATAAATTTTTAGAAAAACAGTTCCCTCTAGGAGTGGAAAATTAGGGAAGATTTTAATGTAACTATTAACATACTCTACCTCGTTGCTACCTCGAATGTGATAAATTAGTATCACTATTAGTATTATATGTGATAGATTAGTAGAATAGATTAATTTTTACTTCACGTAGAAGGAAATTACAAGAATAGATTATTGAAAGTTATTTATGCCTTTATTGGTTCGGAAAAACACCACTGTCTGGAAGAATCAGCAAGAAACCCAGCGGGACTATTTTTTTTAAACAATAATTTACAATATAATATTATGTTGTACAATTAAATACGAAAATATTTAGAATCAGCATGGTAGCGATTACCTCATTCCCGGAGGTTATTATCAATCATGTAATCTTGAGTAGTTAGTAGTACATAATAACAATTAATGAACATTTTTAACCAACTTCGAAAAAAAGGTGGGACTCAATTGGACTGTATTTTTTTAATACGTTTCTCTAGGTGAACCTATTTTGATGATTCTTTTTTTCATTTAAAAGCTGGTACTTCTCATGTAGACCCATATAAATTATATCAAGATCTGACCAGTAGTTTTGAGTTATCCTTAATAATGCGTATTTAATTAACTTCGACTACATTGATGATGTTCTAATTTTATTTATTACTAGCTGTTTCCCGCGACTTCGCCCGCGTGTAATTTAGGGTTTTAATTATATTGCTCAGGACCCCTAATTCTTTTTCTCAAATCTAAGTAGCCTAAGTTACTCCTTATAACATCAGCTATCTACCAGTGAAAGTCCCGCCGAAATCGGTCCAGCCGTTTCGGAGATTAGCCGGAACAAACAGACAGACAGACAGACCGACAAACAGACAGACAAAAATTTTAAAAATTGTGTTTTTGTTGTAAGTACCGTATATACATTCATATGCATATAGTAAAAAGCTGTTATTTTAACATTACAAACAGACACTTCAATTTTATTTATTTGTATAGACTAGCTGTTCCTCGCGATTTCGCCCGCGTGTAATTTGGGGTTTTAATTTTGTTGCGCGGATCCCTAATTATTTTTCAAAAATATAAGTAGGTTAAGTTACTCCTTATAACATAAGCTATCTACCAGTGAAAGTCCCGTCAAAATCGGTCCAGCCATTTCGGAGATTAGCCGGAACAAACAGACAGACAGCAGACAAAAATTTAAACAATTGTTTTTCTGTTATAGGTACCGTATATACTTTTATATGCAATTAGTAAAAAGCTGTTATTTTGGCATTACAAACAGAAAACTTCAATTTTATTTATTTGTATATAGTTGTAGATGTTGATGATATTGAAGTCGATGGTACCTTGTACTATTATTTATTCTGTGGTTGTAAAAAAAATTAATTTTACCTCTTGTTTTCAAGCGATGCCTAAACTTTAGTTTACTCAAAAGGGTCAAAAATTAATCGGAGAAATAGTTCTTTTCAATTATTCGATACAGCGACTTCAGGAACTGAAATGCAAATTATTTATAATTATATATAAATTTATAAGAAAAAAAATTGAAACCGACTTCGAAAACTAAATATATAATTTAGTTTTCGAAGTCGGTTTCAATTTTTTTTCTAAAACTTAATTTTTCAGACAAGAGTTCACATCACTCACGTAATATCAAAGGTATAAAATACAGTAAATTCTTTATCTAAGAGATGATATTTTCCATTTAAGAGAGTACCTACTTGTTTCTAAAGATCTTACCTAAATTTTTTTAATAGAATGAATTATGGAATAAGGGTGACAAGCGAGCACACAATCCACTTGATGGTAAGCGGATACTGTGGGCCATAGACTTCTACATTTATCCTCGATTAAGAATCAAAATGCAGATACGTTGTCACCCCTGATACTAAGATGGAATGCCTCATCTCCAGTAAAAAGGGTTTCCGGTTCTCTACACTCACCATAGAAAACACAGCAGCATGAAGCTGTTATTTTATGCTGGTACTCTGTATAGCTGCATCATGGCTTTTTAGCTATAGTGGCAATGGACCGGCCATATAGTTCTCTAGGTTCGAGAAATTAGAGTGGCAGCCTCGTACAAGTAAGCTAAGCGTAGGGCGGGCCCCTCACCAGATGTAGTAACAACCTGGTAAGATGCAGGAAGTCAATGGATGCAGGTGGCTCAGAGCCGTGCTTTGTGGTATTTTTTGGGGGAGGCCTATCTTCAGCAGTAGACATATGAAGGGCTGTAATGATGGTGATGATGATGAATGAATAAAAAGTGAAATATTTAGCTGTAATTAAAATAATGTTTTAATAGATCAAAGAAATTTCTTTTGAATAAAGAAAATCTTTTTAGTCTGTTCTAAAAACTTGTTTTTACTTAGAGTATTTACAAGTACATACACAGTTTTTTTCCGCCTTCCTGATTGGCGTCTCACCGTTATATCAATAAACAACGCGAACTAGTCGCGGATGAAAGCTAGTTATTGAGATTGTCATATTAATAATTCAAGAGGGATATTACAACTATTAGAAACATATAAGTACACATGTTTTGTTTCTAATGATAATTGGGACTGATAAATATTGACCACAGTTTCCTGTGGCTCTTTTTCTGTCTCCATGATACAAAAAATGAACATGCTAATTTATGCTTTATGGTTATAGGTTATGAATTATAGTCCCATATGCAACTAGAGTGTAGGATAAAATAAAGTTCCCATAGCATTGCACACGTTTCGTTGAGGAAGGTATAAAAGTAGTAATATTTTGTTGACAATTATACAGTCGAGACGTAGACGTTCCGACTGACTGCCCTCAAGTTTCTAAATTTTACCATAGTAAATATTTTTTTCTTTTGTTTCACTTAAGAAAAATCCAAAGGTAAGTTTTTTCAAGTTACGATAATAGTATATGGTAAACTTTTCTAGTATTAAAAGTAAAGTTAGTAAAATTATCAATATTTAGCGTTAATTTGTTGCTATATACTAAATCAATGTAAAGAAGTTCATCACCAACATTAAATAACATCCTATTAAGTCGAAAGCGCCAGGGTAACCCGCGAAATTTAAATTTAGTTAGGTTTTTTGGAATTTGCAGGTCAGGGTCACGTTGTATGTTTAACAAAATATGACTCGCGACCGTAACGAGTAAAATCACCAATACAACCCTCTAAGTTCATATAATCCCTTTGAATGAGTTTTTCTGGAAATAGCCATACAACTTAGAGGGTTCTATTGATGATCACAATGATTATAATTCTGTAAATTCATACTCGTTACGGTCACGAATCATATTTTGTTAAACATACTACCTGACACTGACCTGCAAATTGCAAAAAACGTAAGAAAATTTGAATTTCGGGGGCTACCCTGGCGCTTTTACCTTAAGGTACTATTATTTATTCTGTGCCTTAAGGTATCGGTATAGGGCTCATCTCAATTGTGAGACATGGAGTATTTAATACGCCGCATAGCTCTAATGCCTTTGAAATGTTTTTATTTCTTAGTTATGCAGATTTAATCGCGATGTTTCCTTCACCGCCGAGCACGTTAACAATCAGCACTTTGAATGGCAGTATACAATTAATTGGTGCCCGCGGGGAGCGAACCCGGGTTGCTCGCATAGTCTGAAATTTAGAGCTAGCGCTTAGCAGTTAGCTCTACGATTGACCATTTCAGTGCTCGCGTATTGAACTAACAATGACGTCTTTATAAAATAGATAATATCCTGTTTTCCCTAACTAGGCCTCTATAAAGGACTTTGAGTTTAGTTAGGTAGTTATATAAATGTATGATAAAAAAACGAAACAATTATTTTAGGCTACTATAAAAATTAGTATATATCTACAAAAATTAAACTTGCTTTAGTACTTACGAAATCAGTTATTATTTGTTCAGTATCCAAATTACTATATTTCAAATTCTATTGAAATAATGAATAAATAAATAAGGATCGTTGAATGATGAAAAATTAGCAGTATCGGATAACATAGTAGAGTTCACCAACTTTATCTGTGCAGTGTTCAGGGGTGTAGTTTACAAATTCTCTGGGGTGGGGTCAAAGACTACTGTCGTAGGGACGGCCAAAATTCTACTGAGAAAAAAGGAATATTTTTTGGTTTGTAGTCTCTACCAAGTTGAGAGACTGTTCCTAGCTGCATCCAAGGCAATATTTGATTTAATTCCATTAGTACAACGAATACGGTGATGACAGTGGATCACCAACGATGAGTTCGTAGATCGCTACCCGCACTGTAATCAATAGTAGTACAAGTATATCCGACGTAGTAGACAATATTAGGTTGCAATATTTTTGAGGTTAATGACAAACGAGCTTACACGTCACTTGATGGTAAGTGGCTACATTAAGTAGACACATGCGGGTATAAATGTACCAGTCACTATAGATTACCTCAGTAGGTACCGGTTTTCTTCTTTCTTTTCTTTGGTATGTAGACTGCTGCTTAATCACATATAGATAAAATGTTGATACTCAGGTAGATACTTAGGTACAACACGCAATATCTTCTGCTAAGTACAGAAGGTTTGTGACAAAACTGACTAAAAAAGAGCATTGAATTATTGTTTTTGTCTATAACCAAAATAATTTAAAATTAAAAAATTTGTAGCCGACTTCAATACAAGTTATTAAGAATAATTCAAAAACTATTGGTCTGACCTTGATTAAATTCGGGACCACGCGAGAAGTATCAGCTTTCAAATAAAAAAAGAATCCTCGAAATCGGTTCACCCAGTAAAAAGTTATGAGGTAACACACATAAAAAAACATACAGTCGAATTGAGTACCGTCTCCTTTTTGGAAGTCGGCAGAAAATACCATTAAAACTTTAGTATTTAAAAATATTTATTTCTAAACAGATATTTCCTTATTCCAGTATTTCAAAATGACTGATTCGAACAAAACCCTTTTGCTTTTCTTCGATCGTCCTACCGAGCCGTGCTTTATGCAAAAAGGAGAGGCGGGATCCACCTTCCAGCTTCCTGATAATTTTTACGTAAGTAAAAAATTAGGGTAAGTACATCTATTAAAAATATCAACTTAAAGTGAAATAACAGTAACTTATGTGAAGGCATTGTGTGACGGCAAAAATTTTCTATAATAACTTTGGCATTCGGACATTTATTAAATTATTACTATAATCATGGCTGTACATTATACAGGATTGTTTTTCAAAGAGTATCTATATATTATAAAACTTAAATATAAATATTTAAGTTCAAATTTATAAATAATGTTAAACCGTTATTACAGTTTTTGAAAATATGTAAATAAGGCTTCTACAATTATTTGAAATTATTCCAAATTGAATATGATTTATGGGCAACCAAATAGTTGTTATGTGTAATTAACTATAATATGATGCAATTTACAATTATGGTGACATTACGTAACAAATAACTTCACCTCAGTCCCAACTGGCGACATAGCGTGCGGTAAATTATTATTCCCCATTAATAAAACGTTTAATACTGTTAATTTTTATTCCAGCCAGATAAGTACAAGTCTCTGAGCACCACACTCGCGAACCGATTCGGTTCAGATTCGCCATCGATACCGATTACTGACATTGTTCTGCCGAATCTGCAGCTGCCAATGGAGTTGCCTTACAACGAACAATTTTCCTTGTTCGTTCCCAAGCATAGGCAGATGGCGGGTAAACTCATTGACATCTTCATGGGTAAGTGAAAAAACGTTTGTTTAATCTAAAAATTAAAAGTAAAGTAGTTTTTTTATTTTTATTTTATAGAATAAGGGTGACAAGCGAGCACACAGTCTACCTGATAGTAATTGGATGTGGCCTATAGACATCTACATCGATCTCGATTAAGAATCAAAATGTAGATGCGTTGTCACCCCTGAGGACTAAGATGGAATGCGTCGTGTCCAGTAAAAAGGGTCGTCGGTTTTCTACACTCACGATAGGAAACAGCAGCATTGACCTACTATTTTACGCCGGTATTCTGTGAGAGCGTGGTCCTTTCCTGGAGCATATATGAGTTACAGCATATAATGCATCCAACTGCTGAGCACAGGCCTCCTATCATTTCTGAGGGGGTTATGGAATAATTACCCCGCCGTGCTGCTTCAGTGCGTGATGGCGGACTTCACCACAAAGTTTATGCTATATCCAAAAGATGTTCCTCACGATGTTTACCTTCACCTCCTAGTACGTGGTAAATCAATACTTAAAAATGCAATCAACAATTTCATTGGTGTCGGCCGGCGATAGCGAGCGCTTAGGCTCAATGAGGGCTAATCATTTTCTGCTCACCAGATGTCACTAGTTGACACTGAGGTAAAATTTTTTGTTACACAAAATCACTTAATTGAGAAGTTAGTTTTTAATAAAAGTTTATCACTTTCAAAAGTATATCATACACATAACAATGCCTCAGTAGTTTGCACTTTTATTTTCTCTCTTTCATTTGAAGTTGAGCCTGCCAACTTGACAACAGTTTAGCAGGTAGATAGACGATCACAGTATACAGATCACAGCAGACATTTGATATCTGTATTATAGGAGATATTATCTGATCTTCCTTATATCCCCCCGCCTCCACCAGAGAAAATGGGGTGACGGATACATATTGATATTTAATTTTTGCAGATGTATTCGTAGCTTTATCAATATTTCTTTAAAAATCGAAAAATAATTGTATATTAAAAAGGAAAATTATTCGACGGCGGCGCTGTGGGTAACGAGTTCGATTCGCGTACGGAAAAAAATTTAATGTTTGTAAAAGGTTTCTACGATACAAGAGAAATCTCTAGTGTAACATTTAAAAAAAAACAACGAAGCAACGTTAACAACTACATACAGCCTAGGTTTTCTTTAATGGCTATAATTAATCCTTTCATAATTTTAACAATATTTCAATTGACCAGGTATGCGGAACGTGCAAGAATTGATATCCGTCTGTTCATACTGCCAGCTTCGCATCAATCCTTATATGTTTAACTACTGTCTATCCGTCGCCATTTTACACAGGTAATTTATTACTATAAACATTCTATATATAGCTATTTTTAATAGAAATATGTTAAGCATAAAATTGTATGTTCTACATAGTCCACATGAAGCTAAATGTATACTGTGGTCTAAAGACACCTACATATTTGTCATAGATTAAGAATTAAAATGCAAATGGGGTGTCACCTCTGAATAAAGATGAAATACCGCATTACCTTAGGATATCCGCAGTAGAACTAGAGCTACCCACATAACCCAAAGGATTAGTAAGCTGAAGTGGCAATGGAGCGGCCATATAGCTCGAAGAACCGACAATCGATGGGGAAAAAAGGTTCTCGAGGGGCAGCCTCGTACCGGCGGACGAAGTTTAGGGCGTCCCCCCACTAGTTTTTTTTTATAGGATAAGGGTGACAAACGAGCACATAGTCCACCTGATGGTAAGTGGTTGCTGTGGCCCATAGACATCTACATCTATCCTCTATTACAAATCAATATGTAGATGCGTTGTCACCTGTGAGGACTAAGATGGAATGCCTCATTTCCAGTAAAGAGGGCCTCCGGCCACCTGCACTCACCAAGCGAAACGCAGAGGTAAACCTCTACTTCACGCTGGTTTTCTGTGAGGTCGTGGTACCACCCCGGTTCGAGCCGGCCCATCCGTGCGACAGCAAAAGCTGCCGCGTGGCTCTACCACTGTTAAAATGTGAATGATGAAGTGGCGACCTGGTAAGACATGCAGGAATTCGATGGATGCAGGTGGCTCAGGATCGTGCTTTGTGGCATTCCTTAGGGGAGGCCTATGTTCAGCAGTGGACTTGTGAAAGGCTATCATGATGATTACCACTAATAATGGTCTCAATTAACCTTCACTCGACATACGAAATACAACAACATCATGCTGCTATTTTACACTGGTATCTTGTGCGAGCGTAGTCCTTCACCGTTCGAGCTGACCTGTTTGTGCATTTTTAGCCTCTCTTCAAATTTTTTTTTAATGCAAAGTAAACTTTCAGATGTGCTCTATTTTTATTATAGATTAAGGGTATCAAACGAGCACACTTCACCTGATGGTAAGTGGATACTGTGGCCCACAGACTATCTAGATCTAGATATATCTATTCTCGATAAAGAACAAAATGCAGATGCGTTGTCACCCCTGAAAACTAAGATGGAATGCTTCGTTTCCATAAAAAGGATCTCTGGTTCTTTGCACTCACCATATGAGACACATCAGCATTAATCTGCTATTTTACGCTTGTTTTTAAGATCTTCCTTCTTCCCCGATCCTTCCCCGATCGAGCCACATAAAAAAGCCCTATTTAAATTCCAAACAGTTACCGATATTAATTAATTTAAATCAGTTTTAATAGGTATTTTGTTGTATGTGTGTTTAGGCCAGACACCAAAGGTTTAGATATTCCAACTTTCGCTGAGACGTTCCCCGATAAGTTTATGGACCCGAAGGTGTTCCGACGTGCTCGGGAGATCAGCAATGTCGTCACGTCAGGTGTTAGGGTAAGCTGGTATATTGTGCTTTAAGCGTTTATAGGTTTAATTTTTTTATAGCATAAGGGTAACAAACGAGCACACAGTCCACCTGATGGTAAGTGGTTTTTGTGGCCCATAGACATCTACATCTATTCTTGACTATGAATCAAAATGCAGATGCGTTGCCACTCGTGAGGACTAAGATGGAATGCCTCGTTTCCAATAAAAGAGGTCTCCGGTTTCCTACACTCACCATACGAAACACAACAGCGATAAGCTGCTATTTTACACTGGTATTATGTGAGAATGTGATCTTTCCCCGGTCGAGCCGAACCATGCGTGCAAAGTAACTACGAGTATACTACTAATATAGCTGCAGCATGACTCTACCACGTATAAATTTTTCTACTTAAAATTATAGCTTAGTTAGTAGTTAGTCTCGTATTATGTAGGTTTGTTTACCTTTTAATGATTTCAACTTAAGGGGTTTGTCATTTTTTCTTTAACGCGACTGCGGCGGAATCCAAAAGAAGGGATAAGTATATGGGCTGAAATGTTTGTCCGTTTCTATGTCATTATAACACTTATAACACTTCAGCCTAATTCAGACACCAGCTCCTCACATATACTAGACTATGAGTATGAACTTACCTGTATTTAAATAGATATACGTTTTATTATGTATTGCCTGTTTTTGTGAGGAGAAATAAACATTATTATTATTATTATTACTTAGGGCTCATTTTTCAATGATCACATAAATCCATCGAATAAATTATAACCTGACTGAATAAAAAAGTGAAAAAATTGAACTATTTTTTCTGGTTTTATATTAAAAACTATCATATACTGCATTCAAACAAAAATACTGAAAAAATCGATTCGTAATGCAGTTCTAGTTTAAAAGCTGTGACAAAAACAAACGAACATTCTTTTTAGAAATATTGCTAATTGGTCACTATTCATGTACTATTAGGGTTTTAATAGAGAAAGGCGCGACTCGCATTTGGTTGGTTTTTATTTAATATTTTTCTTTATTGGCAATATAGTGTGCATCTATAACAGGTAAGCATATATAATAAAAAATAAAATACATAAAATACACCTTATACATATTGCATATATAAATCAATAAGTATACTCGTCCAAGTATTCGTCAATTTTATAATGAACTAGTGATTTCTGGGTCTCGACAACTGCGCCACCTACTGGGTCCAGTTATCACTTTTAAACCATCCAGGGACTCACTAAAACATAAAAAAATAAAATCGAGCTATTTTCGACTTTTTGCGAGACTAACGCACGGCAATTGATTTATATAGGTAGGTCATCGATCACTAATAAAAAACTAGATACACAATCAGTGACAAAAAATGTCCTTACCGAATGAGCGCCCACTCGAACGATTGGGTACGCTTTTAATTTGTGCGTAGCTTTGTGAATACAACTTTAGGCAATGTGTTTAAGGTTGAATTTACATTAATGTATATTTATTTCAAAATATATAATACTCAAAACAATTGGCGACAGTTATTAGAGAACTTTTGCATGGGACTGTGTATCTAGTTTTTTATTAGTGATCGATGAGGTATGTATATAGATATACATACAACTAATAATTTTATATATTTATTTATCTACAGATGCCAATAACGATTCCGTTAAACTACACGGCGTCAGAGTCGGAGCCTGAACAGCGCGTGGCGTACTTCCGTGAGGACATGGGCATCAACCTGCACCACTGGCACTGGCATCTCGTGTACCCCTTCGAAGCAGCCGACCGTGCCATAGTGAACAAGGACCGAAGAGGAGAGCTGTTCTATTACATGCATCAACAAATTATTGCCAGGTACATTAAGATCCTGGATATGTTAGTGTGCCGTCAAAGAATCCATAACAACATTTCGTCCTGTGTCTTATGAGGTGACTATAGGAAATATCGTACAGATCTTACGGCTATAAATGGTGGTGTAACCAGGTTTCTCATCATCCATTCATCCATTACAGCCTTTTAACTGAGCTGCTGAACATAGGCCTCTTAAAAGGAATGCCACAAAATACGGTCTTTGTATTTTCATATACCGGCGACATGATGGTAAGTGGCTACTGCATTCCATTACCTCGGGCAATCAAATTCAAAAAGAGAAGGGACTAAGATGGAATACCTCAGAGCCTGTTATTATATTGGCTCTATACACAGCAGACGAGAACACCATTTTGTGGTACCCAACCATGTTCAGGAGGCCTATTAAGTGCTTGAAAATCACTGGGCAGTCCCCTTTACATTTATATAGGATACGATTTAACGTAAATCAGTCAATGTTTTAACAATCATTTTATCACTAAATTAAAGTTAATCGTTAACGTTATGAAGTCAGCGTATTTAAAAACGACGAATATGTGTTAAAAAGGTGTAACAAACCAACTTTTACAATTGCATCTAACATTTTAATTTGTACCGGCGCAGCCTAGCGATTCCGTGCTCTGTGGTTTTTTTCATTAACACTTTTTTCACTCGGTAAAACGTCTTATACACGGTCCATCTTGACGTACGTCCCGCCAAGATCATGCACGATGCAAAACGACAATGAGTACAGCAATTGATGTACAGCAATGACGTACGTCAAGCCCATTCATTGTCGTTTTACATCGTGCATCGTGCATGACCTTGGCGGGACGTACATCTAGATGGACCGTGTATAAGACGTTTAACGTAATTTTTGGTATTAGTTACCATAAACTGATTACGTTTTTTATCTTTACGGTAACAAGGTAATGATTTTTGAATTTAAATTACCGTTATAAAATAATTTTTTTATGAATTAGGGTAATAAACGTACACACAGTCCCCTAATAGTGAGTGCAGAGTACATCTATCCTCGATTAAGAATCAAAATGCAGATGCGTTGTCCCCCTAAGACTAAGATAGAATGTCTCGTTTCCAGCAAAAAGGATCTCCGCTTTTCTACTCACTATACAAAATAGCAGCATTAAGTTGCTGTTTCACGCTGGTATTCTGTGCCAGAGTGATCCTTTCTCGGTCGAACCAATCCATTGATGCTACAACCATAAATTTGCAACATGGCTCTACCACGTATAAAATGGAATGAATGTAACGTTAATTAACGTCATATTTAGGATTGGCGATTTTATTAAGAAGAAAACCAATTAAATCTATTTTAAAAGCAAAACATCCTCACTTTTATATACTTTTTTTTCGCAGATATAACGCGGAGCGTCTGTGCAACAATCTCAATAGAGTGAAACGTTTTAACAACTTCCGTGAGCCTATTGAAGAGGGCTACTTCCCTAAACTTGACTCCCAAGTTGCCAGTCGCTCATGGCCTCCCAGGTAATAAATATTAAATGAAATATAAAAAAAAAACATTTGTGCAGTTCACAAGCGGTAGAGTGAAACATTCAAATAAAATGAAATATAAAAAAAAATTATATTTCACAGCAAATTATTTATTCTATATGATAGTTTTTTACCACAAGTGCGGCATAAAACAAAAAGATAAAAGTTTAATTTTATAGCAAATAAATATTACAATCCTTATTTTTACACGTATCTAATATTAGTGAAATAAATCAAAAGAATATTTTCTTTCGAGTAAAATTGCTTTGTAGTAGGCGCCATCTTCTTCAATCTATAGGTATAAAGTCATTTTAACGAACAAAAATTGATTGACTCTCAAGATGGTACGTAAAATAGGCGTTTGGAGTTATGAAAACGTGGATTTGTATTATTGGATTGGTATATTAAGATAACTTTATTCAATATGGTTAGTTTTATTTATTTAATAAATTAGTTAAACTGCTAAATAAAATTAAAAAATGTAATATTTAAAAAAAAGACAAAAATACAGTAGTTAAATGGGGGATAGAACCCACAATCTTTTGTGTTCGCGGTCTACACTGTATTCTATCACATTCTTTCGCAGGCTAAATCCTATAGATGTATATGTTTGTCTCTTTTTAGTGACACTTTTTCGTTTCATCGAGTTTCAAATCACAACGATTGTAAGGAAGTTTTCACTTTAATTAAAACCGACTTCAACTATAATTGGATTTGGTTGACATTTTAATGGGAACTCTGAGGAAGTATCGGGTAGCAATTCACAGCAATATCGTGATACCCAAACTAAGATGTTTTTAAAGGTATAGATACGTCATACTCGCTCTAAAATGACAATACGAAAGTAAGGTAATTGCCCGACTCGCATTCAGTCGGGCACGCACTCGCGTCGCGTCTATACCTTCGCTACAGCACGTAAATCTTCTAGTTATTCGTGGCAAAAATGCCTCCCTGTGTTTTTAAGTGGTGCACAAATTACACGGCAACTGTTAGAGACAAGAAAAACGTCTCACAAATATTTTGAATATGGATATTTTGTTCATAATTGGTTTTATTATTTCAACACTAACAGCTAGAGTAAACTTTGACGCTAGATAGTGTGTTCATTTTCCATATCGGTAGTCACGCGCTCGCGCCAATGAGCGCTCGGCAGAAATCAATACGCAACTAATGATGTATATTCATCTTTTTCTAACGATAGGTATGCCCTATCATTTGTCTCTTTTTGTTAGCGCAACGTGTCATAATAAATAACTGTACGTAGATATGGTACTACCTGCGCCACTTTAAAATACAATAATGTTAGTGTGTAACCTGTCTATCTTTTTAATACGTCTTTGTACCCAAAAACATTAAAAACAACATAATAGGCAAATTGACAACTGCCTCCGTTTTGAAGTCAGCGAAAAATATAAACTTAATAAAAGTGTATAGACAGAAAAGTAAAGATCTTTCAATGATATAACAAACCCTATAATTTCCAAAATTTCGTTTTTGATTTCCAAATTTATTGCAGATTCGCTGGTTCCACAATCCGCGATTTGGACAGACCAGTAGATCAGATAAGAAGTGATGTATCCGAGTTGGAGACTTGGAGAGATCGTTTCATTCAGGCGATCGAGGATAACGCTATAATATTGGTACGTATCTGCCTGTTTCTCAATAAGCATATCTTATTTTTACAATAGTTAATTATTTTTATTATACACACATATTTAGTCATAGCAACATTTTATTTTGTAATGATTGAGGGAGACAAACGAGCACACAGTCCACATGATGGTAAGTGAAATCTACTGCCCTAAGATATCTACATCTGTCCTCAATTCCGACTCAAGATGCAGATGCCATAATATAACTGCAGCATGGCTCTCCCACGTAAAGAATAACAGTCCACCTGATGGTATGTGGATGCTGTTGTCCATAGAGATCTCACATTTATCCTCAATGAGGGCATTCCGGACGTTTTCTGCCACTAGGGTAGTGCCAAATAGGAATGAGGTGAAATATTTGAGAGATTCCATGGCGAGGAAGTTATATTGTTAGGAAAATAAAAGCGTTAATGTTTCTTGCTGTAATATTGGTCATATTTTTCATTAATTAATTTTTTTATAGGATAGGGTGACAAACGAGCACACAGTCCACCTGATGGTAAGTGGTTGCTGTGGCCCATAGACATCTACATCTATCCTCGTTTGCGAATCAAAATGCAGATGCGATGTCAGCCATGAGGACTAAGATGGAATGCCTCTTTTCCAGTAAAAAGGTCTCCGGTTCTCTACACTCACCATACGAAACACAGCAGTGTTAAGATGCTATTTTACGCTGGTATTCTGTGAGAGCGTGGTCCTTCCCCGGTCGAGTCGACCCATTCATGCTACAAATATACTACAAATATAGACGCAGCGTGGCTCTACCACGTATAAGATTAGAAATAAATAAATCAAACTACGAATATTCCTAATAAAAAGAATTTAAAAAAGCGTTAGAAATATGCAAAAAATTAAAGAACAAACCACTTGGTCATTGCTTGCAAAATACATAGTTTCATAATATATAAAACCCAACAGATCAATTTTATGACATTGTGTAGGCAAAGAAAACTTTATCTCAGTTCCAACTAGCGACATCTGGTAAACGGAAGATTACTAGCCCTAGTTAAGAATCACAACGCAGATGCCATAATATAGCAGTATCGTGTTTTTTTTTGATTAATTTCTTTTAAAAACGTTACCCCCACGCTAGGATTTTCACCTGTATCGTGGAGGCAGTTTACAAACATAAATTGCACAAGGACAAACATCCAGACCCAGAAAATTATTTGTAGGCCATACAAATACTTGTTCCGTGCGGGATTCGAACCCTCGCCCCCAGCCGCTGAAGCTCATTGCTAAGCCACTGCGCCACGGAGCCGTCAAACCGTGTCTCTATCACGTAAAAAATAAATATTCACGTAAATAAAAAATATCCAATAAAGATAAACATAAATTATCCATAAATAAATATGGTATTTGAACAGCGTTTTGAAAATTATATTCTTTGTTTCCTACAGCCTAATGGCAGAAGTATGCAGCTAGACGAAGCAACAGGTATTGACGTACTGGGCAACTTGATGGAGTCGTCTGTTATCAGCCGTAACCGCCCTTACTACGGAGATCTTCACAACATGGGCCACGTCTTCATCTCGTACTCTCACGACCCCGATCATCGTAACTTGGTGAGATGTTCTTCCCTCGTTAATATGTCGAAATCGGAATCAACATTTTTGAAGTGAAAAACTGATGGGCATTTTTGGGACGGGAAAAAATACTGAACTCGTGTGACAGTCACGCTTAGATACATGAAATTAATAAAAGTAATGTTTAAAATCCAACAATTGATTAAATTTTACAAAATTGATATGTATTTATAAATTTGTTTGATAGTGATATTAATAATTCTTTTTCATGTACCGGTGCAATAAATGATTATTTTCTTACTATATTAATACGTACATAAAAATAATTTCTAATAAAAAATAGGCACTTCCTAAAAATATTTCATAATAACCCAATAATAATATTTACAAGTTTATGAAGTTAAGAAGTTATCACTTCTAACGTGCAGTCCTACGACTGACAGATTTTTTTTGTTTTACTACAGTAGATTCGACATTTTATTGACTTACCATCAGTTTATTGTAAGTGGATGCTGATGAGAGCCGTGGTATCTCAGATGGTTAGCGCTCCCTGTAAATTTCACAGTACGCGAGCAACCCGGGTTCGATCCACGCCGGCACCAATGAAATTGTTAATTGCAATTTTAAGTATTGATTTACCACGTACTAGGAGGTGAAGGAAAACATCGTGAGGAAACCTGCATGTCTGAGAAATAAGAAAAAAAAATTCGAAGACATGTGAAGTTCGCCAACACATATTGGGGCAGCGCGGCGGATATTTCCTTGCCCTAAAACCCTCTCAGAAATGAGGGGAGGCCTGTGTCCAGCAGTGGGACGTATAATATAGGCTGTAACTTTAAGTGGATGCTGTGCTCCAAATGCACCTGCACCTGCATCTATCCTCGATTAACAATCAATATGTAGATGCGTTATTACTTGTCACCCCTGAGGACTAAAATAGAAGCCTCGTCATCAGTAAAAAGGGTCACCGCTGTTTTTTATACGCTGGTATTCCGTGAGAGCGTGGCCCTTCACCGGTCGAGCCGACCCCTTCGTCCTACAACCATAATACAGCTGCAATGTGGCTCTATCAGGTGTGAGTATTTTCGGCTAAGTTAGCTATATAGCTTAGTGGTGGTTATTTGGCCTTAGTTGGCCGCTGATTTCAAGACTGATATTTGTATTCAAGACTTTTCTATTTTATTATATTTATACATAATATTATTTATATTGCATTTATTTATACATTGGAGGAATATAAAATGTTTTGTTATTATATTTACGGTTACATATCTATTTATAGGAACAATTTGGTGTAATGGGTGATTCTGCAACGGCTATGCGGGATCCCATATTCTACCGCTGGCATTCTTACATCGATGACATCTTTAACTTGCATAAGAGCAAGTTGCCGACGTATGGAGAGGACCGGGTAATTATATTTTTGATTTATAGTTTCAACAAATTATTATTTTTTTTGATATTCAGTAGATTTTTCAAGTCATTGTTGTCAAAGAGAATATAAACACTTAATTGTTGTTTTTAGTAAAATGTAAATGTACTTTTAAATAGTTTTTAATCAAATAATGTATACTGTATGCAGTATGTTTAGAGTAAGAGCTGATAAATATTATGGAAATGTCTCGCAATAGTCTGTGTGATCGCTGTTTGCGACAAGCACAGTTTTGTGGTAGGAGGCTCGCAGCTGTTGTCAAGCGAGAGACCGGGCGGCGACGCGACCGGGCGACTATCTATCAGCAAAAATAATTAGCGGGCCACAATTTGTATTGAGTTTAGAATCCCTGCTTTTAATCAACTTGCTGTATAGACCATAGTAAAAAATAGGCCCCGTATTTATGTAAAGTAAAGTAACAAGCCGGAATTTACGTCGTTGAACATAGAAATAAGTGAAGGTATGAGCGAAGGCATGTTACCACGCCGAGTCCATTACTTACCATCGGGTGTTTCTTTCAAAATATACGGTCACATAGACAAGTTTACCATACCATTACACAGCCTATTAAAGTCCACTGTTGAACATGGCCTCCCCCATATATTGTCTCGTAGGGGGATATTTGCCACAGTTGCCACGCTTGGCAAGCGGGTTAGCAACCGCAGATTTTTTATTTTAGTCGTTATTAGGAAGACACTGCTGATCTCCTGATTTTTTCCCTCTGTTGCCTCTTACGACACCCACGGGATGATCACGTTTTTTTTTATAGGGTAAGCGTGACAAACGAGCACACAGTACACCTGATGGTAAGTGGTTACTGTGGCCCATAGACATCTACATCTATCCTCGATTACGAATCAAAATGCAGATGAGTTGTCACTCGTGAGGACTAAGATGAAATGCCTCGTTTCCAGTAAAAAGGTTCTCAGTTATCTACACTCACCTTACGATACACATCAGCGTTAATCTGCTATTTGACGCTGGTATTCTGTGAGAGCATGGTCCTTCCCCGGTCGACCCGACCCATTCATGCTACAACTATACCAGTAATATAGCTGCAGCGTGACTCTACCACGTAAAAAAGGGTAGTAGATATTCTTTCTCTGTCACTACACGGTTAACATACACATAACATGGACTAGTTTAAAAAAAGCATTATTCTTCAGCTGGATTTCCCTGGTATCCGCTTGTCGTCCGTCAGCGTAGAGGGTGCTGGTGGCACTAACGCGTTCGCGACACAATGGGAACAGAGCACGGTGGAGCTGAGCCGCGGGATGGACTTCACTCCGCGTGGCAGCGTGTTGGCCCGCTTCACGCATCTCCAGCACGAGGAGTTTAACTACGTGTGAGTTATCAGCATAATGTTAATAGTCTTGCTAGCCATATATTCTTCAGAAATTGTAAAGTTTTTTTAGGAGTAGTAGAGTAGCGCTGCTTCGTTGGTCTTGCGGTTGTAAACACGATTCCTGAGCATGTGGTCCCTGATTAGAACCCGGTAGGTCGGGCCATAAAAACTGTTAAATTAAACTGTTTTTCCGTCAAGAAATTATGAGAGTGAGGGTATATAGAGAGCATCTGTGTTTGCGTATACACTCGGGGGCATAACCTGTCCTACGCTCTTCCAGTCGTCCCATTCTTGCTCCAGCCACAGTCTAACCACTACTACTAACTCAGTCTAACTACCCATTGAAGGAGTCTATATGGGGAAATCGTGCGGTGCAGACGGGCCGAGACGCTAGCGGAGCGCTCCCTAAGGCTAAGGTCCGCTAGGGTTGTCATGCCATGCAAATAAATTAAAATGTTTCACACTACATGTGCGATAAAAACTGTGGGTTGCCCTCATTTAAAGATAAGGAATTAGTTTCATCAGTTTCCACATACACATCAATTTGTTAAAACGTGAAATAAAATAAAATCAGTTTTTAATTTTTTTTATTACTACCCGTTCTGACAACCCTACCAATTTATTGTTTATGTCGGCTTTTCCGACAACATCAAACGCGATGACTGACTCTATGTTCTTCTTAGTCTGTGTTCCAGCTATATATACACTGCAGCGTAGTTTAAAGTGGTGACGTGCAAAAACAACAGGGATGGATTTCCAGTTTATCTTTTTGTTGAGATTCAGACTTAGCCTTGTTGTTTCTGCTTACTTGGCTTTATTTATTTTGGTAATGGGAATTGTTTTATTACAGTATCGAAGTGAACAACACCACCGGCAGTTCAGCTATGGGCACTTTCCGGATTTTTATAGCACCGACTTTAGACGAGAATGGCAGTCCACTCCCCTTCGAAGACCAGAGGAGGCTCATGATTGAACTGGACAAGTTTTCACAACCGCGTATGTATTAGTGTTTGTTTTTCAAAGGTGCTAAGTGATGTTTTTGCCTGCTGATGTTAGTGGCAGGTGTAAAAAGAATTTTTTTTAAATATTTTATCTTGGAAGGTGGCATATCAGCCACATTGTACCTATACATACATATGCTCTAAGTTCACCAATATTTTTACGTGAAAAAAATTAGTGAATATAAATTTAGTAACAGAAACTAACTGGGTAACTGAACATATTTTAATTTATAAAATTAAAGGAATTATTACCAAATTCCGAAAATTAAAAACCAAAATTTTATAAACATATTATATTGTCCTTATTACGTGTGCAAATTTCAGATTATTCAGACATCTCGAAGCGGGTAAAAACTTCTTTTGTATGCCCATTTTAGTCAAATATTTCAAATAAAACTGAAGCGAATAACTTCGTTAAATTAAATTTGATGGTAAATGGATGCTGAGACCCATAGACATCTACATTTATCCTTAATTAAGAATCAAAATTGCACAGAATTATTACGCAATTGCATAGAATTATTGCGTAATAATTCTATGCAAAATTGTTATCATCCCTGACGACTAAGATGGATTGCCTCGTTTCCAATAAAAATTTCTCCGATTCTCTACACTCACCATAAGGAACACAGCAGCATTAAGCCGCTATTTTACGTTGGTTTTCTGTGAGAGCGTGGTCCTACCCCGGTCGAGCCGACCCATCCTTACTAAAGCCATAAAATAGCTGCAGCACGGTACTATCACGTATAACCTAGAAATATTGAATCTTGTAATTTGCCATCTTGTAACTTTATTACGATATTAACCTGAAACAAATAAATAAATAATGAATAAATAAATATATAAATCAGTGAATCCCGGCACCAACACTGTGCGTCGCCGCAGCCTGGACTCGTCGGTGACGATCCCATACGAGCGTACGTTCCGCAGCCAGGCGGATAGGCCGGGAGACCCGGGCTCAGCTGAAGCCGCTCAATTCGACTTCTGCGGCTGCGGCTGGCCCCACCACATGCTGATACCCAAGGGCACGCCTGAAGGCTACCCGATGGTGCTGTTCGCAATGGTCACCAACTGGGACGAGGACAGGGTACGTGTTGTCGTTTGGCAGGCGGGTTGGCAACCGCAGTTTTTTTATACAGGGTTATTTTGCAATAACCGGCCAAATTTACAGAGAGGGTTCAGAATAAGTAAAATAAATGCTGAAGAAAAATTAGAAGCCTTATTTACTCGTATTTTTAAAACCAGCATTAACGGTATATCATAATTTATATATTTGAACTCAAGTTTAAAATTTGGCTACTCTTTGAAAAATAACCCTGTATATAATATGTTGTTTGTTATATTAAATGATTTTACATAATATCATTGTCACGTTTCTTTTAACCAGATCTTTTATTTCTTGACTAGATCGAACAAGACTTGGTAGGCACTTGCAATGATGCTGCTTCGTACTGTGGTATACGCGACCGGCGCTATCCGGATCGACGTGCGATGGGCTTCCCCTTCGATCGTCCTGCAGATCCCAGCGTTACGAGCCTCCATGATTTCCTCAAGCCCAACATGGCCGTCAGGGACTGCACGATTCGTTTCACTGACGCCACCAGAATTCACGGACAACGGGGCTAGGGTAATGATTAAATTCTTATTAATCAAGTGGAAAAGAGAGCTTATTTTCAAAATGGAAAATATTAATCAAAGATTATTTTATTTTATTGTTTTTATTTTATTTATAAATATACAAGTTAATGTATAAGAGAAAACATCTTCCACGATACTTTGTATGAAAGTACTTAATATTAAAAAAAATTGTGTACAACTTAAAAACTTAAACTCTTACTTCAATTCACTCTCCATTAAAAAACATGTAACATTAATTTATAAATATACATATAAAATGCAATAAATAACTTAGCTCTCTTATCTACAAGGATAAATTATTTTGCACACTAACAAAACACATTATTATAAAAGAAAATAGACAGATAAATGTATTGAAACATACAATGGAAACATTGAATCGAAAAATATTGTAAAATAGTAATAAAATATGAAATATATACTTCTAATTAAATGTTCTAATTAGGTTCCAAACATTTCCTTAAATATCTAAAATAGATCAGGTTAGTGAATAATTAGTAAATCAAAAGTTTGGTATGTACTGTAGATCAAAAGGCAGTATAATATTATTATAAGTAGCGGCACGAAAGTCTAGCGGTAAGCGTTATTCCGCAAAAGTCGCGCTGATTGGCTTATTGCGCATAAGTCGCGCTGATTGGCACGTGCGTATTATATAAGTATAGTGCATAATTTCTTATCTTTCGCACGCGCTGATTGGCTAATGGCTGACTTGTACTACCATTTACTACGTACTAACAGTGTGAAGGCGTGTGGATGCCAGGATTCCCGTAGGAAGACACTGACGTTATATTAAGGAAGCCATATTATTGTAAAAAAAAAATAAAACTGCCACAGTTACAAAATTAATCAAAACTACATAGTTAATATAGGTATATTAATTAATTGACAATAACGAATCGAAATTACCATACAAATTTTAGAAATTGTAACAGTTAATGTTGCTAGTTTAAAGCAAAAGACGACTTGGCAATGTTGTATGGCTTTTGATTTTTAAACAAAATTTGTTTTATAAGTAGGTTAATTTTATTACTATAACGGGTCATGTTAAGTGTAATTCTGTAAATATTGTGTGTAATATTTTGTAATATACTTGTAACATTTGTAAGCTAATAAATCTAGCCTTTCACAAATACTGTTTTTTAATTTTTATTACGGCTGACCTGACATGCGAAAGAGAAATATAATATTTATGTAATATCTTTAATAACTAGTTATTTCTACTTTACTAAAAGCATGAAAAAGGCACTATGTGGAATATCTGCAATCAAAGAGTATATAACCACTAAGTTTAGTGTACAACTGTTTATGTTTTTAAATGACACAAATCAATCAACAATCCATGAAAAAATAGAAATTTATATATTTTTGAGTTTCTGCTGGGAACTTGACCGGTGGCGGTTTGCTGCTCCTGTATTATTGTTTAAATAATGGTTTTAAGTGGACTTTGATATGTAAAAGTGGTGCGAATTTGTGTATTAAGTGTCTGTGCATGTGAACTATTAGTGGAAACGGTAAAGTGCTCTGATAGTGATGTGATACTCAAGATAAGGTGTCTGTCTGCTTAGGCGCCTTGAGATACTATTGCTAACTGTCAGCTGTCTGCTGGCTCAAGTTGCATATGACTTTTTGATGGTAGTACTTATTTTTGTCTGTGTAGGTCTAGTTAAGCTCACTTTTTCATTGAAGTACTGTACTTAACATGGTAGCAGAATCAAATAAAAAACTAAACTCAGGAGGGTACCGGCCCGCTGTTGACGAAAAATCCCTTACCGAGCATACACGACCAAGTTAGCCTACTCGCCCTTAATGTGGGTGCTCAGGCTGCCCCGTGTATTCTGACCTCTGTCACTTTATCCGTGAATTTTCGCATCATCAGGGGACTTCATTCCGACCTTAACACTGTCCACTACCATCTCGAGACGGCGAAGCCGGCCTTGCTATTTTTAAACGAGACTCAGGTGTTCTCTCCGGCTGATACTTCATATCTATCCTACCCGGGGTACAAATTAGATCACTCCTTTGTGCTCCGGGCTGGAGTTTGCGTATACGTTTCAAACGACATCTATTTCGACGCCTCGGCAGTCTCGAAAGTACGGACCTGTCTATCCTATGGCTGCGCATAGACAGCGACGACCATCCCCGCGTTTACAGTGTCTCTATAGGTCCCATAGCGGTAATGCCGAAGCACACCGACTCATCGACCACATCCAAATGGTTACCTACAGATTCCTTGCTACAGCAGATCCCATTCGTAGAGATCGTGATCTTTGGCGATTTTAACACCCACCACGCCGAATGGCTCGGTTTACGTTTAACCGATCATACGGGGAGATATGTTTATGACTTTGCCTTGGCATATGGTCTTTTGCTGCTGGTGATACAGCAGGTTACTTCGACTACGCTGATTTCATATTTGAAGGATCACGCACATTCCCTTTTGGACCTACTGCTGACTTCTCATCCGGACGACGAATCAAGTTTCCGTCGATGCCCCTCTAGGCTTGTCGGACCATTGTCTTGACCGGAGTGTGGTGCTACTCACACTAAATTCGCGGTTGCATTCTGCAGGGTACCGTCTTGTTTGGCACAGTATAGGTCGGAAAATTGGGACGGGAGGCAGTACTTTTTTTTTGCATGCTACCCTTGGGGGCGGGTTTGCTACTCGCCGGAAGATCCCAGCGTTGCTGCTGATTCCGCCGCAGATGTGGTACTTCAGGGTATGGAACTTTTTATTCCATCCTCTGTGCTGCCCATCAGAGGCAGATCTCAGCCATGGTTTGGTCGCTCCTGTAAAATAGCATCACGCTATAAGCATAAGTGCTACCGGGACTGGGCTAAAACATCAATGCTCGGGATGTAAGCACCAGCGCTCTTAAAATGAAGTATAATTCCGCCAATAGGTCCTTCAAAAGAGTCATCACTTCTTAAACCAGGCTGATAAATAGCAGAACGTAAACTCCACCGCTCTTACTATTTTAAAATATTGTTTTTTTGAACCTTGATATAAATACTGAAATGTTCGGATATTTTAAAAGAAATTGATAATAATCTTAGAATATAACTATAGAAAAGAAATCTAAATTTAACTTTTAATATAACAATCTGTACCCAAGCTACTTTACATATAAAATTTGGAGGTATCGGTGTAAGAAATCATTGTAAGGTTGCATTGCCTGCTTTTCTTGCCTCCGTGCATGGTGTCGGTGACTTATACATAAACATAAACATAAAAACTCACGCCTGTCACCCAGAGGGGTAGCATCATTAGGCAGAGACTATGGACTTCCATTTGGCACGATCCTGACACACCTCTCTCGCTTTCTCCACATCCATATACCTACGCATACACGCTCGTCGGTTAAAGGTACTCTTGATTTGGCCCATTTTCAATATATCGCCAATAGTCGATAAACTTTCGCCTCATCATCATCATCATCATCATTACAGCCCTTCACAAGTCCACTGCTGAACATAGGCCTCCCCCAAGTAATGCCACAAAGCACGGTCCTGAGCCACCTGCATCCATCGACTTCCTGCATATCTTACCAGCTCGTCACTCCATCTTGTGGGGGGACGCCCAACACTTCGCCTGCCGGTACGAGGTTGCCACTCGAGAACCTTTTTTCCCCATCGGTTGTCGGTTCTTTGAGCTATATGGCCGGCCCATTGCCACTTCAGCTTACTAATCCTTTGGGCTATGTCGGTCACCCTGGTTCTACTGCGGATATCCTCATTTCTGAGTTTATCACGCAGAGAAACTCCGAGCATAGCCCTCTCCATAGCTCGCTGAGCGACCTTGAGCTTCCTCATACGGCCAGCAGTGAAGGACCACGTCTGAATTCCGTATGTCATCACTGGCAACACGCACTGGTTGTACAGTCTCGTTTTCAAGTTTTGAGGTATACCTGACGAGAAGATGTGCCGTAATTTCCCGAACGCTGAGTTGAATCCGTCGATTGACCTCTCGGTCGAAGTTGGACTTACCTAGTCGGACTATTTGTCCCAGGTAAACATACTCGTTAACAACTTCGAGCTTAGTGCTCCCAACAACTACCGGCATAGGTGTGACATAGACATTAAACATGATCTTTGTTTTGTCCATGTTCATTTTAAGACCTATCCGTTGGGAAGCACTATTGAGGTCATTGAGCATAGTGCTTAGGTCCTCTAGCGATTCTGCCATAAGGACTATATTCGAAGGTGAGTGATGTACTCGCCATTGATGTTAATACCGTATCCTTTCCAGTCCAGAAGCTTGAAAACGTCTTCCAATGCAACGGTGAAGAGTTTCGGGGATATGACGTCACCCTGTCTTACATCTCTCTGCAATTGGATAGGTTTCGTACTCTGGTTCTGTACACGGATAGCCATCGTAGCCCTACTGTACAAACACTTCAGCACTTCGATATACCGACAGTCAACTTGGCACCGCTGAAGGGACTGGAGCACCGCCCAAATTTCGACGGAATCAAAGGCTTTCTCATAGTCCACATACGCCAGACATAGTGGCAAATTGTACTCTTCGGGCTTCTGTACAATTTGCCGAAGGGTATGTATGTGGTGTATGGTGCTAAAGCCCTTTCGGAAACCGGCTTGCTCGGTAGGCTGGAAGTCGTCAAGACTGCGCGCGAGACGATTCATAATAACTCTCGAAAACAGCACGTAGACGCGGCTCAGAAGGGAAATCGATCTGTAGTTCTTCAAGAGAGCGTTGTCACCTTTCTTGAAGAACAAGACTACCGCACTTCTGCTCCACGCCTCCGGTGTAATGCCAACATGGAGGACGGAATTAAAGAGCTTCTGAAGAACTTCAAGTACCGGTTTTCCAACCGCTTTCAGAAGCTCCGCTATAATTCCATCCTCGCCTGGGGCTTTGCCGCTTTTAAGGTGCTGGAGAGCCATTCTAATCTCGCTCAGACTGACGTCCGGGATATCATCGGAATAATGTCGCATAAGACTCGCTCTTGGATCGTTACTCACACTTGCGT